GTGCCTTTGGGAGGCTGAGGTGACTCGATTGCCTGAGCCCACAGGTTCGAGACCCACCTGGGCAGCAAGACCTCATCTCTACAATAAATCAAAAAATCAGCCAGGCATGGTAGCACGCACCTATAATTCCGGCTACTCGGAAGGCTGAGGCCGAAGGATCGCTGGAGCCCAGCAGGTCGAGGCTGCAGTGGCCAGGAGGGGCCACTGCACTCCAGTCTGGGCGACCGAGTTAGACTCTAACTCAAAAAAAAAACGAGCTGGGCGTGGAAGCGCACGCCTATAGTTCCAGCTACTTGGAAGGCTGAGACGGAAGGATCACCGGAGCCCAGCAGGTTGAGGCTGCGGTGGCCGTGAGCATGGCCACTGCACTCCAGTCCGGGCAATAGAGTGAGACTCCAACTCAATAAATGCATAAATAAAAAACATTTACTAGGCCAGGCGCAGCAGCTCACACCTATAATTCCAGCAGTTTGGGAGGCTGAGGTGAGAGGATTGCTGGAGCCCATGGATTCAAGATCAGCCTAGGCAACTTAGCGAGACCTCATCACTACAATAAATCAAAAATATTAGCTGGGCATGGTGGCACGTGTCTGAAGTTCCAGCTACTTGGAAGGCTGGGGCAGAAGAATCGCCTGAGCCAAGCAGGTTGAGGCTGTGGTGGCCATGAATGCAACAGAGTGAGACTCCTAGCAAAAAAACCCCACATATTTACTTACACCAGCCTCTTTATAAGCAGAATGGTTACCAAGTATGTTTAGGGCTTTTATTTGTGCTATTCATATCACAGCTAGATTAGGGTCATAGATTTAAAAAAACTTTGAAACCAGGCTGAACACTGACGTTCATGCCTATAATCCCAGAACTTTGAGAGGCTAAGGGAAGAGTATTACTTGAGGCCAGGAGTTTGAGACCAGCCTGGGCAACATAGTGAGCCTGTCTCTACAAAAAAATTAAAAAATAAAAGTAGTCAGGTGTGGTAGCGCCTTGGGAAACTGAGGTTGGAGGAGCATTTGAGCCTAGGACTTAGAGGCTGCAGTGAGCTATGACTGCACCACTGCACTCCAGCCTAGATGATAGAGCAAGATTTTGTCTCAAAACAAACAACAACAAAAAACTCTGAGCAAAGTCTCTAATGAGCACTACTGACAACACTTCAGAAGTATTACAATTAAGGAGGAATTAAGTACCTTCTGTGGTTCTGTGGACTCCACTGGGAGAGGACTCTTGGAAGTTTGTCCCATTTCTTCTAGACTTTGCCATGAGCTTTTTCCTTTTGCTAAATTTGCTTTGTATCTTTTCACCATAATTAATCATAGCTGTGAGTACAAACATGCTGAGGTCTGTGAGTCCTCCTTCCAAATCATCAAACCCGGACACTCTCTGGGGACTCCCAACACAGGTACTCACCAAGATGACTCCTTACCTCAAGTTTAGAACAGGCAAACCTGAACTCATGATGCTTCATATCAAATCTGCCCTTCTTCCCACTTTCCTACTCCTGTTATTAACACTTTGGTAAGGATCCAGGGTGAAAACAGTACCCTTTGGCGACATGTCCCTTCTCTCCTTTTCCTGTTAGTAAATCCTGCCCATGCTTCCTTCGCGATATCTCTTGAATCCGCCCTCTCATCTTCACTTCTACAGCTCAACACAAGTCCTCTATCTCTGGGCTATCAGTGTAACCTCCACACTTAACTCCTCTCCTTAAGGAATCACTTCTAATATACTGTTCTCTGCAGTCCAATAAGTTTTGCCAGACTTCAGAGATGATCTTGTCAGTACCCCTCTTAAAAATGCCCAAGCCTACCAAATAAAGCCTTTCTCCTAGGTCCAAAGTATATTCTCTGCAGTATTTTCTTTTTTTTTTTTTTTTTATGTTCCAAATGTGATGGGTTTATTTTATTTTGCTCTGATGCAAAAGCAAAGATTTCACTACAGCACAGAGACCAATATATTAAAAGGTCATGGAAAAGTGGAGTGGGACATGCAGAACGTGATGTACAAACTGGAGGGTCAGGTCTCTCCTGGAACATGACACTACACTGTCGCTGAGGAACACATTAACACTGCAGAACTGAACTGAAATGTGGCACAAACATGACAACTTCCAGGCATGCCTTCAAGCTCCTCCCTCAGGATGGACTTGCAAACTCTAGACTTCAGTGTGGGGAGGACTACAATTCTTTGGAAGAATAAAAAGTTCACACTTTTGAAATTCCACAGAAGAATTTTAAGGCCAAAACAGAGTGGGTTCATTTCTCTTCACTTCCAGGAAAACATCCGATGCTTTACTCAAACCACATTAAGCTTCCAGTTCAAAACCCAACCCAACCTTGTGACCTCCTGCATTGAAGTTCTTTCCATCAATTAAAGCTGACAAGGTCAGTTTGACTCCTGGCCGAAGGGTCTGAGTATAACTCAGTCCAATCAGGCTGGCATTATTTACTTTAGCAGATAGAGAAGTTCTACAATCCAGCTTGTATTTAGCAGCAATGCCAAAATGGGTGTTGTTACTGCCAGTTGTCCAAGCAAGGTTTATTGACGTTTCAATCTTCTCATTAACCTTCTGGTAGATAGAACCTCCAAATTCAGTGCCATCATTCACATGAGTGTGCAGCTGGAAGCCTGCAGCCTTGTAACCCAGGGCAAAATTATTCTGTGACAGTTTGGATTTGGCTATATCAAAACTCATCTGATAGCCAGCAAGCCACCCTTCTAAGGCCAACACAGCCCAGCCATAGATGGTTGGCCCAGAAAAATCTATATCAACATTACTGCCAAGACTGAAACAATCCCATTTATAAGAGGCCTTCAATTTCCCACTCTTCTTTCCTGTATTTGGTACAAATATGGTATCGAGAGTCAGTTTCAACCCTTCAGCCACCTTATTCTCCAAAGAGATCTCTGCCCCCAGAGGATTGCCTGTGTTCCATTTTTGGGTGAAGGTAAGTCCATAGTTGCAGACCTTATATTTGGTCTCTAGGTTGCCTGATGCTTTCTCGGTATCAGTGTAAGCATGACCAGAAGTAGAAAATTCCACTCCACTACAAGACTTGGTTTTCAGATCTATCTTGACCATGCCAAACCCATATCCTTGGTTGAAGACATCCTTGGCAGCCTTTCCCAGGTCACAATAACTTGGTGTGTTACACATATCTCCAACTGGAGGCCAGTCCCCGCACGGCCAGGGCACCGCTGAAGGTCTCCTTCCCACCACCCCTGCAGTATTTTCTATACGACCCTTACTCCAATCCAATAAACCTTAAGCCATAGAAAAATTGAGCTCTGATTCCTGGGCAACTCAAGCACTTCTGTGCATTTTCTTTTCTTAAAATGCCCTTCATCACCAGGCTCGGTGGCTCAGCCTATAATCCTGCGCCTTTGGGAGGCTGAGGTGAGTGGATTGCCTGAGCCCACAGGTTCAAGACCTGCCTGGGCGGCGAGACCTCATCTCTACAATAACTCAAAAAATCAGCTGGGCGTGGTAACGCATGCCTGTAATTTTGGCTACTTGGAAGGCTGAGGCGGAAGGATTGCTGGAGCCCAGCAGGTCGAGGCTGTAGTGGCCGGGAGCAGCCACTGCACTCCAGTCTGGGTGACAGAGTGAGACTCCAACTCAAAAAAAAAAATGCCCTTCATCTCCACCTCTATCTTAAATGACATTCTTTAATATCCAGCTCAAGTATAAACCTCGTCACAAGAAGTACACCCGATTTTTCTATTCATAATATCTTCTCCCTGCTCAGAACTTATTTATCACATTCCTCTTACCACTTTCATAACACTTCCCCCATTCTAGTCATCCTAACTATACTGCAAAACTGCTTCCTATACTCCACTGGGCTTTGTACATTTCTTTTTCTTTCATTTCCTTTTTTTTTTTTGAATTGGAGTCTCACTCTGTCAGCCAGGGTGGAGTGCAGTGGCATGCTTATGGCCACCGCAGCCTCGATTTGCTGAGCTCGGGTGATCCTTCCACTTCAACCTTCCAAGCAGCTGAAATCATAGGCATGCATCATCATGCCCCGCTAATTTTTTTGATTTATTGCAGAGATAAGGTCTCTCCAAGTTGTCCAGGCTGGTCTCGAACCCGTGGGCTCAGGCAATCTTCTTGCCTCTGCCTCCCAAAGTGCTGCGATTAAAGGCGTGAGCCAAGCACCCAGCTACATCCATGAAACAACTTGTAATGCTTCTCTCCAACATCTGCAGTAGAGTGAAACACTAAATTTTTTTTTTTTGAGTTGGAGTCTCACTCTGTCTTAAACGGAATCTGTTATTATGCAAAGAGCTACAGACTGCCAGATCAAGCATGGATCTAAGAAATGTTACACATAGAGCAGCAGAGGACGGCAATGAAAAGAATCAACATCCAAATTCGCCTTTTCTTACAATCGTCACCGACACAGAAATGCAATTTAGGAGTGACAGCATACATAGCGGGACAGTTTGATCATAAGGTAAAGTTTGATCAGTGGCTCAGCCTGTAACCCCACGCTTTAGGAGGCTGAGGTGAGTGGATTGCCTGAGCCCGCGAGTTCGAGACCCGCCTGGGGAACTTGGCGAGACCTCATCTCTACAATAAATCAAAAAATTAGCCGGGCTCGGTGGCTCAGCCTGTAATCCCGCGCGCCTTTGGG